CTTACCTTAGATTTTAAAATTTTTCTATTTTTGTAATGATACTTACCCTTGGATGAAATCAAACATGATAATGTAATTAATGCCAATAGGAAATAGGATTGTGTATGCTTTGAGAAATTTTTTCTTTCTCTCTCTCTTTTACACACAAACACTTCCCTCCCTTTCTCTTGTCTCTCTCCTCTCCCCCTCCCTCTTCCTCTACTTCTCTCTATTCTTACCTTTCTTTTTTCTCTCTCCCTTCTCCTCTCTTTCCCCTCTTTTTCACCCCCTCTGACCTACTTTTAAAATATGTTCCTACTGCTATGAACTGAATCTTTGTGTCCCCAGAAAAGTCTTATACAGAATCCCTAACTCTGCATACTTTGAGATGGGACCTTTAGGAGATTATAAGTTAGATAAAGTCACAGGGATAACCCTACTGATAGGATTTGTGCCTTTATGAAAAGAGAAAACGGACTGCTTAATTTCTGTTCCTCTCACCCTCACCTCTATCCCTGCAGGCACAAAGAAGAGGTTATATGAGTATGTAGCAAAAAGGCAGTCATCTGCAAAGGAGAAAGAGAGCCCTCACCAGAATAGTAATACTATGTGCAGAATAATAAAGGCTATCAAGTAATCAAGGACTTTAGGTTTTAAAATTATGAAAAAAAATAAATTTCAGCTCTCTAAGCCACAGTTATGTTTTGTTATGTTTTGTTGAGTAAGACATGTACTCTAAATTTGGTTCATATTTAATTGATAAACTACACTTCTATTTGCATTATCAAAAGGTATCACCTTATTTGTTACTGTAACTAGAGGACCATGCATTGGTCTGAACTTCCAGCTTTTTCTTGGTAAAATGTCTAGATCATTTCTACCAAGGATTGAAGATTTACTCTTCATTTTATGATAGATATATAGATCTGGTTAGGAAATGAAATTTGATACATTCTCCCTCCATTCCTATGCTTTTGTGCCCCAGAAAAACACTTGTTTGAATGACAGCAATATATGAACCCTGGAGATTTGTACTGGCAGAATTTTATTCCATCTTTACTTAATAACAAAATCTCTCTAAGACCAATCACAAAGTGATTTCATTTGACAACACTGCCACCTCAACAGAAACTATATATATGATTGTCATTGTTTCCTTCCTATCCTACTGCTTGATGAGTCTTGACTTTTTCTCAAAGCCCATACAGGTAACATGTCACAATACATGCAGAAAAATATACCAAGAGAAGGATATTTTCCTATCAAGGTCATTCAGATACCAGGCTTCCTCTTTCTTCTGTGTTGTATAGAGTAAGATAACATTCGCTGTTTCAAACTGGCTTTAATACCAGGATTAAAAACGGACCAGTTTGTTATTTAATATAATGTTATTTATTTTTTTCCTTGAGCTGGAATAGACCCATGTATTAATTCCTACAAACAATACAATTTATCTCAAGGAAAATTCTACTTATAGATTCGGCTTATTTTTGAGTTTTTAACAATCTAATAGAAACAGGTAACTGTTCATTTAAGATTAACCTGATTTCAATGAAAAACAGCAAAAAAAAATTGATGCTTAATTGGGTTCAAAATTGCTTTTCCTGTCCACAGTCAATGCCATATTCTTACCTACAAAGATTTAGTTGGCTTTGTTTTCTAGGTTTTTAAAAATGCATTCTGTTTGGTAACAGAGCAAATCATGATGCCAAAAAACAACCTCATGCATAACAAAATGTATTCAATATAAATGTTTATAAAATGTTTATAAAATAACATTTGTTTCAGTCTCTGTTTTGAACTTGAGGTTATTTATTATCATTTTCTGTTTTGAGGTAAATATTTTTACAAAGACAAAAATGCCGATTTATAATTACATCCTAGTTAATTTTTTAAATTGGGACTAGTTCTAGCAAAACTATGATCTCTGATATTAATAGCTCCCACTAATATAAGGGGAAATATATTAACCAGAATACTCAGAGTTTTGACTCCATTGTATCTTACAGATTTTCCCCCCATATTTGGAAAGGAACATGGTTGTGTGAGACACTCACAAATCTTTAAACTCACTAGTACAAATGCTTTAATGAGTTTCCACTAAAATGCTTTCATTTACTACTACAATGTGAACATTTATTCATGTTCTTGATCAATAATTTATTTCTGAAAAGTCTGGGAAGTCTGACCAAATTGCTACCTTTACAAAGATATTATGAGAAATTAGCATTGAGATTCTATGTACAAAAAAAGATGAGATTTACCAAGTTACATTTTTCAGTTCTGCCTATAATATTCTGGTGTCCAAAAACAGAACAAATGAAAGGTTCTAGTGAGTTACTAAGTTTCTGAGACTGGCCTCAGCAGCCCTATGAAACATCTTACTCTGTACCAAAACAAAAGATGAAAATAATCCAATTCCTTCCGTATGTAATCCAGATACTGGTCTCTATGCTCACAAAACATGGGAGAACTGTCTGGCTAAGGTCTAATAAAAATAAGGAAGTATAGGATATAGGCAAGTTATTGTTCACATTTTGGGGTATCTGTTTTTGAATAAACATTAAAAATTATGGGTGCATATACAAAGCATTAGATAGTCAGGAAAAATCATCTTAGAATATGTGCTGGAGCAGGAAGTATTCTGAGGGTTTTCCATTGACTATCAGTAAGTGTCTGAATTTATCAATATTTCTTCCTACTTTATCAATATTTCCCCGTCAACTCATGTGTAAGTTTAGCCCCCAAGCTCATCTTCACTTTAAACAGATACTCTTTAATATCTACTAGGCACTTAGAGCTTTTTCATAAATCAATGTTTTTCATAATTCATCTATTAAGAAGTAGTTCTCTTTAGTGTTTGTTTTCAAAGAATTTCCTTTTGGCCTCCTTGGCTTAATCACCAGCACACCAGGCTGCTCAGACCTGTGAGCTGACAGAAAACCATGCCCTCTCTCTGTCTCGCTTTCTCCTTTATTCCTCTGTTGCTCCAAACGAATTCTTTCTTCCCATAAAAAAGTCTTTATCCCATATATCAATGTAAACTGGCATATTTGAAGAGGTGCAAATCCCATATGCAGATACTCCTTAACTGAAAGTATTTTATGGTTTACTCACTCCCTCAACAATGCTCTTTTTGTTTTCCCCAGTGCAATTTTGTCACCTTGAATGCCTAAGCACAAATACTTTCTGAGGATAGGTTCAAGAAGTAAAGGCCATGCTCTATCCTTTAATGTCAATATATATTTTTAAAGTCACAATCACTCCATCCTCATTCTATTTTCTCAAAGAAAGACAAAACGTTAGTTGGAAACTGCAATTAAGCTACTTTGAAAAGGTAGCTTTTCTAGAACCAGGGCCGCATTTTCCAAAACTCCCAGCGCAGGTAGCGCAGATAGCAGTAAGGGAATGTGACCAGCGCTGGGACGTGACTCTCAACTCTGCTGCTATAATCAGAGAAAAGGTGCTTCTGAGGGGCGCAGAGGACTCAGAGTCCGTCCATTTGAGACATAGCCCACCCCCTCATTGCTTTTTGAAGTCAAATCTAACGTAGATATGCTCTGAATAAAGAACAAACGTGGAGACATGAAGAGGACAGGAAAGAGAAATGTCTGGATTTTATCAAATGATGGCTGGGCTGGGCGTCTCCATACTGGGAAAAGAGTGGGAACCACTGAACCCCCAAGTCTGACTGTGTGAGGCGACTGCGACCTTACTCCGGCTCACCCTCCCCGCCCCTCCCGCCCCGCGCTCTCCAGACCTCTCTTTCCAACCCCAAAGGGACCCGAGCAGAGCATTGCTTGGGGTCCCTGTGGGAGTCGCTCACCCCCAGCCCAATCATTTTGCCTTTTTCCCCTTCCTGCCTCCCGGGCTGCTTGTTCGTGGTTTCCAGAAAGGTCAACCCCGGCCGACCTGAAGATGTGATTTCAGGACATCCAGAAAATGACAGCGTTCCCCAGCCGCGCCCCCTGCTCACCTCCAGTCTGACCTCTGGACTGGCGGCACCACCTTTCCTTAGGCGCTCTAGGACGCACAGAAATGAGGCGCACTACTGCTCCCCCCACCCCATCCCCTGACCCACTCCTAGAAAGGTCGCCTGGTCTGGAGCTGGCGAAGCCTCCCGGCTCCAGCATGAGAAGAAAGCACATGTCTCTCTTGGTCCTGAGCCTGCTGCAGTGGATTCTGGCTGTTCACAGCCAGGGCAGGGGCGCAAGGGTCCACGGAGGGACGGAGACAGTCCTAAGGGACTGGTAGCCTCAGTCCCTGGCCCAGACGGCTGCAGAGTGGCGAGGACCCGGGTAGCCCGTTTCCCCAGCCTCACTCCCAAGATGTGGCCTCACCCCAATAACTACAGAGCTGGGCTGTGAGTTTGTCTGGCAGCTTCTACTGAGCAGCTAATGGTATAACAACCCGGCTTTGATAAATCTGAACTAATTACCCCTCTTAATTAAAGTCTTTAGCAGTTGTTTCACTGTTTTGGCAAGAAAACAGGAGAGACTTGCCGTTAGAAAACACCAGAGCCTGAGCTCACAGCCGAGTTGCTGATTAACACTTGAAGCGTTTCAAGGACCTGGCACCCGCCACAGCTTGGTTTCCATCCATGTTTCCTCCTTGAATGGAAGCATATTCGTCTATAAACATACTTACACATACAAAAACACGGAGACTCTCCCTGCCAACTTGTGCAAGTTAGTGTGTGCTTTCTGAATGGAAATAATGGATACCTTTGCTGTAAAGGCATTTTTGGAATTGTGCATCACAGGCAATCCTTCTGGACAGAACAGGCTGTTTCCACTTCACTTTTGCACTACAAATCTATGTCAAAGGCATGTTGCTGTTACAAAAATACAAGTCTTTTGCCTCTGCCCTTGACCACATTTTCTAATCTTGCCCCAAACTATAACCATTACTGAATATTTTGTTCAAAACATTAGGTATTGTCATTAACTCGAAATTGAACTTTTTTTTAAAAAAAGGACACAGATAAGGAAGGTTAAAACCATGGTCTTTCGTTTAAGTTTGATTAAATAAGCATGTTCCAAGTATTTATTTCCAACAGTCAATGAATCAACTTCCACGTGCAAGAATCAAAATAATTCATTCATAATGAACCACCCTTATCTATTGTGTGTATGTGTGAATGTGTATTCATGAATACGCAATGTGCTTTTAGAGAAACACACATCTATGAATGTGCTTGTGTGTGTGTATATATATATATATAAACATACACACAGTGTTTTGTTACTTTGAGGAAAGAGGAAATGATAAACCATCAGCAGGCAGCAGAATCGACACAGTGGAAATATATACAATAATAAAATTAAAATGGTGCAACATTCCCGGATAAAATAATACAAGTCAATAAATACAAGCAGAAATTCCTTTTCAAATAAAATAAACACCATCTCTCCACCCGAGATGAAAAAAAGTCTTTCTAATTTTGGAAGAAAAATAAAACAGGAAACAAAACCCTCCAAATTTTTTATAATTGTTACTTAGTGCCTATATAGAATATAATACACAAAACCATGTAGCAGGTTGCATGCAAGAGGTAAATGAACAAGAAATACAGAGGCTTCTGGTCCACTCTCCAGTGTGGAGCCCAACTTGCCCTGGGGTCTGCAGACCAGCTTGGACCAGAAAGAGCATCTCTAGTCTGCTGCTGCCTCCGAGATGGAGCCTTCGGCTGGAGTTGGAAGGAACCTTGGCTTGGTTCATGATCACTGGTGGCCCTGGTGGAGCCCGGGTTGCAGGGGCCCGGGAGGAGGCTGCAGGGGCGGCAGAGTTGCAGTCGGAGGCTGTTGGAGTGAGGGCGTGGGGTCGCTGCCTGGCTCCCCTGTGGGTGGACGGGCCAGCCCCAGGCTGCTGTCGTGTAGCTTTCTGACGTGCTTCTTGAGGTCAAAGTTCCTGCAGAAGCCCTTGCCGCAGGTGGGGCAGGTGAAAGGCTTCTTGTCGTTGTGAGTGTGCATGTGGAAGGTGAGGTTGTAAACCTGATGGAAAGCCTTGTTGCAGATATTGCACTTGAACTGCTTCTCCCCGCTGTGTGTCAACTTGTGGTTTTTGTAATTCCCTGAAACAGACAAATGACTGAGATGAAAAGACCTTGAAAAGGAAGGACCCAAAGACACAGAAAGTAGAAGACAAGCCAAAGAATTGCTCTGCTAAGACCAGAGGTGCAGAGCACTAGTTTCCCTACATTTATTTTCAAACATTAACAGTGAGGCCATTCCTCTACATTTTAATGCACCCTAATTAATCCAATTATGCAAAACAGGGGACTGAGATTAGAGAGAAATATCCCTTTGGTATACAAACCAGGCCTTTCTCTAACACTAATCAGACTTGGGGTAGAATGTTAGAATGGCAACCTATGCCCCAGGAAACTAGCTGCACTTCATAAGTAATGTTTTTTAACCTCCTAGAACGGTTAAGAGTAGCTTTCACTAAGATTACCCCAAAAGGAAAGAAGTATCTCCTGACTCCCATACCTTTTTGATGAAATCCTTTACCACAGAATTCACACACAAATGGTTTGTAGCCTGCGTGTATTCGGGTATGTGTGTTTAAAGTGGAACTTCTATTAAATGCTTTGCCACACTGATTGCATTTGTGAGGTTTTTCCTAAAGAGGGAGGAGGGAAGAAGACAAAAATTGAAGTCATTCATTAATATTATGTGGAATTCTCCAAGCAAAACACAGTAATTAATTCTCTAAAACTTTTAAGCAGAACAAAGATGGCACCTTCCCCATCCAGCTAGCACTTTTGAACAAATCCTTTGCCAAGGAGTAAAAGCTCTATAGACCATTTTTCCCCCTGAAAATAGTTTTGAGGTATGCCAGGAGAAACTTCCACAGATGAACACACCTGCGTGTGAATGATCTTGTGCCTGCACAGGGTGCTGGCTTGCCGAAAACCCTTTCCACACACTTTGCACACGAAGGGTCTGGCTCCTGTGTGCACCGGCATGTGACGGGTTAAGTTATAGTGCGCATTAAAGACCTTAAAAAAATTAAACAGACAAATAACAGGTTAGTCAAAGGAGGAATGGGAAATCAAAACGGGAAGAGAGGGGGTAATTTACAAATGTCTGCAAATAATGACCCCCCCCCAAAAAAAAACAAGAACAAGAAAAGAAAGAAAGGGAGGGAGAGGGAGGGAGGGAGGGAAGGAGGGAGAGAGACAGAGAGAGAGAGACAGACAGACAGACAGACAGACAGACAGAGAGAGACTCCCTTCTCCATAGTACTTACTTTTCCACATACTTCGCAAGTAAAAACTTTGGGCTTGGTATTAGGTGATCCCCGGCTAAAATCCGAGGTTTTGAACGCGATTTTTTCCGACAAAAGCTGGGCGCTCTCTTTCATGTACTGCTGGAGCTGAGCCTGGGAGAGGTCTTTGAAAGCTACTCCGGAGGGGTACTTCTCCACAGACGGGACTACCAGTTTATTCCTTTCGGCTAAATACGTTTTTGGCTGTGGGTGTAAAGGGGAACTGAGAAAGTAGGAGGCCACCGGGTGGATGTTCACGCCGGCAGCCGGGTGGCAGGGGGCGTCGCCTCGGTTCAGGTAGCACAGGGCTCCCATGGCGTGGAAAGAAGAGTGGTTGACCACACGCGGCCTTACCAGTTTGTACTGCTGCAGGGGCAGCGCATCGCGGGCCAGGTCGCCCTTGAGGCTCAGCGCGCAGTTGAGCAAATCGCTGCAGCTGAACGCGGGCGCCGAGGGCGCCGCCGGCGGCGCCGCCGGGGCCTCCAGACTCGCTTTGCGCGGCTCGGAGCCCGTCACCCCGGCCTTGGAGCTGGTGTCGTACGCCACCGGAACGAAAGGAATCATGCAAGGGATCGACGGGTTGAGCTGCAGAGAGTGCTTGGGGTCCCCCTTGGGCACGGTTCCCTGCAGGAAGTGGGGGACCGGCAGGGCCTTGGGTTCGGGGGTGCGCGCCATGATTCGTTCGATGGAGAAAGCCAAGGGTTTGGACGTGCTCATCACGTTGCCCCGGGTTGGAGCAGTCGCTAGCATTTTGGCGGTCGCGTTGTGGCAGCTACTGTCCATGTCTGAGTCGCCAGCGTCCGTCAGCTGGGGCCGGGCTGCGCGCTCGTAGTCTAGTTCCCGGCTCGTCACAGACCTGCGAAGAGGAGGACGGGCACCATCATCACCGCCAGCAGCCTCCTCCTCCTCTTCCCCGACATCACCAGCCGAACCTGCCTGCCCAGCCCAATGGACTCCTGCCAGCCCATCGCAGAGTTCTTGGCGCACCAATGACTCGGGGACAATCACTACTTATTTCTATCAATAGAAAGTGTTGTGTCAATAACGCAGCCAAGATCTCGCCAATCGTTAACTTCCAAGAGGAGAAGGTAAACTAGATAATTGCTCAATTCGCTTCCAACAGTCAACAGGAAAAACTTTTTTTCTCTCTCTCTCTCCCTCTCGCTCTCTCTCTCCCTCTCCCTCCGCAGTCAGCGACTACTTTTCATTGGTGAGTGAGTTTCCCCCGCCCAAAAGAGGCGGGGGCGCTGTGGACCGGCGCACGCCGCGCCCTCTCTCGGGCGCACGCTCCCGCCCTCGCTCACCGCGCTGCGCTCCCCTTCAGCCACCCCCTCCCCCGCCCCCCGTGCTGCCTCCGTCTTTTTAATTCTCAATCTGCTTAACCAGGCTTGAGAGGCCAAGCAAATCTGAGATCAATTTTCTCGTTTAGCTCTAAGTGACATCATCTAAAATCATTGTGCAAGGGCTAAATAAGGAAACAAGAGTCTAATTCAGGGGCAAATGCTAGGCTATATTTATCAAACGCCAGACTCCAGAAAGCCACCTCGGCCAGGAAGCCTCTGGCAGTAAAATCCAAGGTTTTCTCGCTGGGCTGGAATCCCGGGCCGTGCCACTTCCTCCCGCTGCCCTCTTTCTTCTTCCAGGGCCCAAGGCTGCACGCGCCCAGGCCTCCCCAGTCCCCAGTGGCCTGAACCAAGCCTGAACCATTTGGAAGACTCCAGCAGGTAACTGGCCTTCAGAAATGCCCCCCTGAGAATTACAGGCCTTGGGAGGCTTGTTATGTGTTTGTGGTTTTTGTAAAGGCGATGCCCCTGGCAATAGGCTTGGAGAAAGACTTCTCTCGAACTTGCAAAGTTGAGCGTCACACCACAAGTCACCTAGACTCAGATCGGACCTCGCCCTGACTCACATCCAAACACACGGGAGTGTGCCCTTCCACGAGTTTCCATTGGGGGCCGGGAAACCACTTCAGCTTCCCCCCCCCCTCCGTCCCTTCCTCCCTTCCTCCCTCCCTTCCTTCCTTCCTTCCTTCTTTCTTTCCTTCCTTCCTTTTTTTTTTTTTTTTATAGAATCTGCGCTCAGTTACAGGTCTTAGTACTCTATGTCGAGAGGAAACGAGAAATAAAACTTGATTCTCCCCCTGGCTGCCAAAGCCTGCACGCCGCCTCCCTAGAAGCAGGGCAGGCGGTTTCTGGGGCGTGCGTCCTGGTGCCGCCAGCGCGGCGGACTGCGGGCACGGGAGGTGTACCACCGCGACGCTCCTGTCTCCCAAAGAGCTCGTCCCAACCTACGATTCCCCAGTTGGACTCCCTCCGGCTGGTACCAGGAACCAAATTCCTGCGACGGAGCCGAATGGGTGCTGTTAGGTTCCCGGAAGATGTCCGAACCTGAAGCCCAGACTGTGCGGGTTCCCGCGTCTCCGACCAGCGCACGCAGCGAACAGCTGTGCGCATCTGCCTAAGCGCAGCTAGCGACGAGCCTGCCACCGCGTGGAGCTGAGCCCTGGGGCTAAGCGCGCCAGAGGGGCTGCAGGTATGGGGGGGAAGTCCTGAAAGTAAGAGTCCGCGCCCGGAGGTGGAGCGAGCACACTGGACTGCAGTCCCCTGGGCGGTACGACTGGGACGCTGGGGTAAGTATCTTCCCGCACACTCCAAGGTGTCATCTGCCTGGTGAGTTAACCCCCGAGCGTGTGAGCGCGGGACGATGCCAAGTGTCTAGTCAAGGGTGATCTGGGAGAGAGCCCTGGAAAGGGTCAACAGTGGGAGGTCGGACGAGGTCTGGGAACTCTGGGATTGCTGAATCGCTGAGCAATTTGACCCAAACATACGAAACTGGACCTCAAACGGAAGATATTGACCTCCAAGAAACACATACTCCCATCCCCAGAACACAGGCCAAAAGACCCAGGCCCTCAACCTCACCTTGTTCGGTGCTAGAGTTAAGCCCAGCCAAGAAGCAAACCAACAAGGGTGAAAAACAATGCACTGCGGATGCCCAGGGGCGCGGCAGGGCCGCTGAGCGGGTGGTGGGGTAACTTGAAAACGTGGGAGGGGTGGACCCTTTTGAAGTTGGGTGGTGGCTCAGGAACCAGGTGAAGAGAAGCTTGGGCTTGAGACCCACCTCAATAGCTAGGCCTGGGAGAACCTCCTCTCTCGTCTGCCGACGGCTCCCGAAGCGAGGAAGAATCACCCGCAGAGAGCACGGAACGTACCGGGGAGTAAAACGGGAAAAGTGCTACACAACCCGGAAAGCGCTTCGGACCCCCCATTGGCCTGGGTTCCCTCACACTGGATCCTTCCCCCCCCCTTTTACTCTTGGTGTTGGTAAAACCTGACTCCTTTCCCCTGCTCAGACAAAGGGCACAGAAAAGGCTTTGCTGACGGAAGGAGGTGAGATCCCTGTCCCACGACAGATGGGTCGTGGTTAAGAATTTAATTGCTGCCTTTGGGGTAGATCGGGTTCCCTTTCCTACCTGAAGCTTCCTACCAGCGAAAAGTGCCCCTCCTGCGCACTTCTTCACACCAGGGCCAGGTTTAAAAGAAAGAAAAAAGAAAAGAAAAAGAAAGAAACAGCAAAGAAACACCCAACAACATGGCTAAGCAAAGCCTGTAGCGTTCAGCTGACTCGCACCACTTACCGGCCTCCAGAGCGATACCTGCCTTCTTGACTGAATGCCTCCAGTTTGTTTTACATTTGTCGCGTGTCCCTCCCTCTTCTGTTCGTCCCCCTCCCCCTACTCCTCTCCTTAATGGCGAAAGAGCCTTCATTTGACCTCGAGAAAATTTCTCTTTCAATGGACATTAAATTAAAAAAAAAGGGAAAGTACTGACGAAGGGGTATACATGTTTTGTAGAGTGAATATTTCAACAGTTTGCATTTCCCGAGTCTTTTCGGGGTTGCCTTTTCTGAGGAAGTGTTTGACGGTGTCATTTAAGTAACACAAATAGAGTTAGACATCCATTTATTTTCCTCTTTTAAGATAGCCCTGAGTTTGCCAGTCCTAAAGATTGGAGGGGCTTTACAAATCCAAGCCTTGATATGCTAGCATCTGCTAATATTTTCCATTTAAAATAGAAGAAAAACGTGCCATCTTTTGGTGAGATATCAGTGAAGATTGTCTTTAAACTCAAAATGTATATAGGAAGGGTTTCTGAATTCTTGTCAAATCTAGTCACACTTTTTATTTCTAACGATTTGGAAAATGAAAAGGAATCGAGTCAGAGGATATATGGCAAATTTAGAAACTGCTAAATGATTCCATATTTAAAATGTGTAACTTTCTAAAAAGAACCTGAAAGAGCTTTCCTTTCTTAATGACAAAACAGAAACTCTTCTAGATTCTTTGGATTTTCTTCAAGAATCCTATAATCCTTTTCTTTCTTTCTTTCTTGTCATTGTTTGTAGGTAATAATTAAATATCCTCTCCCTTTCCAACCATAAAAAGACAGTATTTATTTGCCCTTCCAATCATCTTAAATTGTGGTGGAAGTTGAATTTTAAGTGGTTTGTCCTGCTTGAAATATAAGGTAGATATAGTCTCTTTGATACAAAGAGATCAGGTAACAAACTTGCATTAAGACTTTGCTAAACTAAACTAAAATAAAATGCAAGTCCCACTCATCCAAAATGATTAACCTCCTTTTTTCCCCTAGAGATTATAACTTGATATCAATACTTTCTAAACCCTGGCCTTGCTATTACTTAAGAATTTACATAATTTCTCCAGACATTTTTACTTAAGTCCCTGCCAAAGGCAAATGTAGTTTCTGGCCAACTTTACTGTAGTGTGAGATAAATAAAAGAACAGAGCCCAAATTTGTAAATAATCTATAATCTACCTGTAATATGTATTTATTAATAAGTCACAAACACTGTTAAATTAACAAATAGAACTGGAGAACTTGGTAACATCTCCAGTCTTCTTTCAAGTACATTGACTTGTCCCTTACCATATTTTTAGGGTTTTCAGGTCTGACATATAGTTCTGACCTGGTTTTTCTCAAGAGCAGTTGATTTTCTGTTTGTTATTATTATTATTACCTTAACTGAGCTGATGGAGGCATTATTTATATTCTGACACACACAGACACTCAGGTACTTTGTCCTGTTTAATAAATTGCACCAAAGCAATATATCTGATTTTTAGAAAAGGAAAACCATTCCTAAATTCCTCGGTAGGCTTTCTCTCCCCCCACCCCCCACCCCAATCTCTGACTCATCTTTTGTTACCTTTGGTGTGTGTTAGGCCCTGGCAAAGTTAAAGGACACAAATAGGAAGAGTTTGCCTGATTCAAGGAAACTAGATTGTTTTGAGTACTTGGAATAGTTAATTTGCAGTGGGAACTAACTTTCCAGGTTGTTAACAAACACCTAGGTAACGAGTTCACATTTAAGGCTACTAGTGTGGTTTTCCTTAGTTTGATAACAAATAGAGAATCCCAGGTAAAACTTGTAAAGCACCGGATCACCCTGTTAGGACCGTGGGAATTTACTGAGCCCTGCTTTCTTGTTTGTTTTTTTTTTGGGGGGGGGAGGTGAACAAGAGGAATCTGTTGTTTGCCTCCAGACCTTTGTTTTTAGTATTTCTTTTATATTACGATTTCGTTTAAACCCGGTGGAATTCTTCCTTTTAAAATGGTATTTAAATATTAACTTAGTTGGTGAAAGAAAATAAAGGCCTCAACCTGAGAGTTCGTTAAGGAGCAGGCTGAGTGGGTCCGGGGGATTCTGTCCCTACCTTACACTAACGCTGAGCTTTCTCTCATCAGTTCCCACAGGGCTGGACTAGATGGGAACAGAAGTTTATTATAAAGAAGGGACGCAATTTTTCCAACCTTTTCCTTGGAGCCGCTTAAAGTCAAGCACCAGAATCCAGCCAAGTTTCGCTTGTAATTTGCAAGTTAGGAAGTGAACAATTCTGAAGGCCCACAAGTGCTAAGTGAGAAGATAACTTGCCTACTCTAAGAGGAAAAATTTTGT